CTGCTCATCTCGTTTTCCTGCCACATCCACCTGTCCTGTCGCTCCAATTCTACATTCAATTTCCGTCCCCGGCCCAATCCAAACCGACCCTTTGAAAGACGCACTCACCCAGTACACCGGAGGACGTTTGCTGCGAGGAGGCAGCACTTTGATCTGTCTTTTCCCCTTCGCCTTGTGATCGGTGTCTGTGCCGCGAGCTCTCGGTGCCACCGCTGCAGTCGGAAGAGCTGCTACCGGCAGCTGCAGCGGCTGCTGCTCCCGCCACCCCCTTCTCTGGCATGGTCTTTCAGTGGGGAGTAACGGACGATATTCTCCGGGAAAAGGGAGAGCGAAATCGCATCTCAAGCAGGCAAAGCATGGACCGCGGCTGGTCGTTGTGTCAGAAAGAGAGGGGTTAAATGAACGTGAAAGTGAAGTGAAGGTTGTTGTGGTGGTGGCTCATCCTGGTTTGCAGCAGGATGCGAACAGATTGATAGCGCTCCGTTGATTCTTACTATGGAGGAGGGACAAAGAGAGAAGGGGGGACGACATACGTAGGCTACAGACAGCCTCACTCACACACATACACGCGCACACACGCACGCACGAACACACACATACACACACACATGCACGCTGGAAATAAAATATCATGATTCTCCTCCTCGCCCTCCAAGAGAGAATTGCAATAAATGCACCTTTCACTTTCCCTGACCTCTGCAAGCCGCTAGAGAACAAATTGTTCCTTTTTATAGAACCAAGCCCCGGTGCAAAGGCGCTACCACCAGCTATGATATCACTGAAAATATGAAACGTTTTATATTTCATGTTCAATTCCATGCCATTGGGAAAAGCATACCACCACCAGTCATGCCAGTCACCCATGATGCCACTCCATAACATACACAATTATAAGACACAACATACATTTATGTTCCTATAAAGCAAGGTTTATGTACTTACTGTTTATTAGTAGAGTAGCTGTCATAGAGTAGCCTATGTTGTGGCAGGTGCTTGAGCAGTCCAGCAGACAGACAGGCAGGCAGGCAGGTGAAGCTCATCTCCTCGGATGTGAAAGGCACAACAAAGCTCCCAGCCTGTCTGGTTAGGATTAAGTACATAATGATTTATTTATCAATGCAAAAAATATCTTCACAGATAAACATTTTTGTGAGGCTCAGGTCTGGGCAAGACAGATAATCTGCTTCCTCTCTAGCCCACATTGGAGTCATCCCCATTTAACTTCTGCACAGCAGAATAGACATACCGTAGCCTAACATATGCTTTCCAATATTCCTGGATGACAGGTCCACTTACAGTAGCCTCTGATACATGTTTGTTCTGTTTTCATACTCTCCCATGTTTAGAACACTGTCGTAAACAGTATTCTCTTTCTCAAAACCACAATTTCTTTACTTTGTAAATAGCCTAGAGAAGGTGAACCGAGACCTCATTTATTTACTTTGTCAAACCGTCAAAACACAGGAACAGAAGGGGCACACTGTCCACATAGACTCAGTTTGAATATACGTATTCTGTAGACAGAGAATGCCAAGTCTTCTTCAAAACTAAAATTGATGTTAGCCTACGTAACAGTCTCCACACATGACAAACTCCCCAACCTATTATCAGTTTAGTGTGTGCGTATGTAAGGCGTGTGACCGTCCCCTGTGCCAAGAGAACTACATTAGGACTGCTTTTACCACACATACAGCCAGAGGAAAGGAAGAAGACAAAACCTTGGTGCTGATGGTTCAAGGAAGGTGCCAGCTGTCCTCTATGGAGCCCCACTGAATAATTCAGATCACAGGTTAAAGAGTGTCCCTCAGACACTAGGCTCTGACTGCCTAGGTACCCTGCCTATAAACAGTAGTCTAACGTGGCTTCCTCTCCTCGTCTATTCTCCTTCATCTGCACTGATCTAAAAAGAAACAGGAGCTGACGGCAATAATGACAGGATACACACAGAGGATATGCTGTCACCTGTCCAGTCCTGTTAGATTAGTGCTAATCTCTCGTAAACATAACTGAGCATCTGACCAAATTACACAAGATTTTAGTTCTGGGTTAACCAAGATTAGATCAGTCCTGATGAAGGAGAAGAGACGAGAGAGGAGGGATTGTTGAGACTATTGAGATACACCCTCAGAGTCTTCTCCTGTTCTCCACCCCCCTGGCCACCGTCTGCCGTGGAGCCCAGCCCTCCCACCTCAGCCCTCCCAGCCCATCCCTCCCACCCCTCCTAGCCCTCCCATCCAGCCCAGCCCAGCACTCCCCTCGGTGGAGCTCAGAGGTAGCTAGTACCACCAGCATAAATTCTGCTTACTCGCCATCATCTGACAGCTGCAAAGATCTGCAGTGGGCTCCTCAGTGCACATATACACTGAGTGTACCAAACATTAGGAACACCTTCCTAACATTGTGAATGGATTGTGTATGTGTGCCATTCAGAGGGTGAATGTGCAAGACAAAATATTTAAGTGCCTTTGAACGGGGTATGTTAGTAGGTGCCAAGCGCACCGGTTTGTGTCAAGAACTACAACGCTGCTGTGTTTTTCATGCTTAACAGTTTTTCGTGTGTATCAAGAATGGTCCACCACCCAAAGGACATCCAGCCAACTTGACACAACTGTGGGAAGCATTGGAATCAACATGGGCCAGCATCCTTGTGGAATGCTTTCGACACATTGTAAAGTCCATGCCCCAACAAATTGAGGCTGTTCTGAGGGCAGAGGGGTGTGCAACTGAATATTAGGAAGGTGTTCCTAATGTTTTGTGCACTCAGTGTATATGTGCACTGGGGAGCCCCACTGCAGATATTTGCAGCTGTCAGATGACAGAGAGCATGGCGAGTATTCAAACTAGGCTACAAAACAAATTGCTTTTATGGGACTTGTCCATGTACTGACCCCACGGCATTAGGGTAGGAGAGCCGTGAGATCTGTTGTGAAGCTTTGAAAGGTAATCCTCAAATCATCCAAAAGAGACTGGATTATTATTTTTTAACTAAATCAAAACACTTATGGCTTGTATGATAATAAAAATATAATATTGTATCTTCTCAATCACATAATTGGATCCCTTACCCCTTTAAGAATGAGAAATAATCCGAATTTAAATCATAAGGTAAATTAAAATTACAGTTTATATGGGATTTATTTCAGTGATCAAAGTACTAGGACTAGACTGAAACTGAGCTGACAGAAACAGCTTCACTTCAAGGCAAGTAAGGATATGGCCAGATGGTGACATCATCACAGTGACAGTTTATCATGTGTTTCACAGAGAGAAAAAACTTTACTGTAGATAGGCATGTTACATAATGTATTTACTGCAAGTGCTCAAAGAAAATATGGCAGGTTTCTATCATGAAGATTATTCTAAAAATATATATATTTTAAACGTTTTTAAAAAATACATATGCTTTCTAAAACATCCTTAAATGTAACAGAAAACTACATTGAAAATCTATAGGCATGCACATTATCAAAGAGTATGATATTAAAGCTGCAATATGTAACTTTTTGGGTGACCCCACCAAATTCCCATAGAAATGTGCGTTATAGATCTGTCATTCTCATTTAAAGCAAGCAGTAGATCTGTTCGATGTCCACAATTTCTATGTTTCTCATTAAGTTTAGTTTTTGCATCTTTTACTTTCAGTTTTGTACACCAGCTTCAAACAGCTGAAATTACAATATTTTTGGTCGTGGAAAATATATTTCACAGCGGTTTAGATTATACAATGATTCTATACACTGTACTTGCTTGTTTTGTCCCATAAACTGAAATTAGGCGAACTATTAGAATTTTAGCAACCAGGAAATGGCGGAGTGATTTCTGCATAGTGCACCTTTAAGGTTTCCCGGTTCATAATGTGCCTAATACCTCGAACAGTAAGTAGGATACTACAGTTTCATTAACATAGAATACAACCAGAGAGGAAGAGGCAAAGCGAGAGGTTTCACTCTCGCCAAAGTATGTCCAAAATAAACCCAATGCGTTACTATGGGCTTATTTTGGACCTAAGCTTGTCGCCTGCCTTCCCGCGTTTGGGACAACGACCACCATTGTTAGGGCGGAGACATGAACCTCTCGTCATTATATAAAGATCTCTGCTACAACGTTGAACAAAACGATACAAACGCTTCGAACACACCGACTGTGCTTTGCGTTTTGGTACACCAGAAGTCCATTCATTTCCAATGGAACGCTGCGTTTGCCTTGCAGCATTGCGTTAAAGAGGCAGTTATAGTACGTTCTGTGTGGTGCATACGTTAGATTTATTTGGATTTATCGAACATATGCGTCAAACTGTGTGGGTAACGGGTTGACAGAAGTGGTAGCAGAAGGTGAATGTTGAACTTTTGTATCTAGATGATGTATCTAGATGATGCTTCTAGATGATGCTTCAAACTATTTTGCGCAAACACAGTTGGTGTGTTCAAAGCATTAGGGTGCGTTCGTAAATTCGCTCTGGCTATCTACTCCGATCAACACTACTCCTCGGCCAGAGCAGTCAGTGTACGCTCTGAGAGCGAAAAGCTCTGAATTTATGAAAGGACATTCTGACAAGGCTCTGAATTTACGAACGCCCAGAGCGCACTCTGAGCGCTTCTCTGCCGCTCCAGATTTAATTTACGAACACACCCAAATTAACAAGGTCAGTGGATGATGTCATATTTATGCAAAATAAACAGAATACAACGTTGCGCACACTATATCGCTGCAGTAGCAGCACGGACCCATTTTAATAGCACAAAAAGGGAGGGCATATTCTTGATTGACGGTGGTTGGACCAGTTACATCCATGCATCTCTTACGAAGTTGAGGACTCCAGACCAATAAAAACGATCCGTTGGATTAACGCGCTTTCATCGTTTTGGAAACGAAAGAAAGAAGCATGGATACAGGCAAGGGGAGTTTGTGAGCTGAATGTCACCGATAGATAGTAAATACAACTCTGCGTTGTCTAACTGCCATATTCAAGTATTTCAGTCACCACCAGAAAGTTTGACAGAATGCCTCTAGTGAATCTCACGTAAGCTTTTGCCTTTTGATTAAACGATGGCAACATTTCTCATAGACAGCTGTAGTTGTTATAGCCTCTACCGAGAATAGGGGCGACAAATAAACCTAGCTAGCTACATACAGTCGGCAGAGCCGGTCAGCTCTGCAACATTTGCTTTGAATCATAATGTTGCCATGCACTTCTTGGGGATTGTGGAGAAGCGCCATTCTCACCCTCAAGACATTAAGGTTAGTCAAAACTCTCTGGGCTAGTTGCTTTTATTTCAATTAAATGTATCCTGATCATAACCATACTTTTATCGTTTTACAACCAACATATCACTTAATAATATCTCTTTACAAATTGATAACCCGCATCTTGTTAGCCAGCTAATGATGGGGAGCCATATAACAGTCCCATGATCTGACTTGTCTTAACATTATTATTAATAATAAATATAGCTGCAAGCTGCATGCCTTATTTTACAAGTCATAACATTTGTTATTGGTACAACATCCCTCACTGGCTAGGGATGCTTACATTTACATTTACATTTTAGTCATTTAGCAGACGCTCTTATTCAGAGCGACTTACAGGAGCAATTAGGGTTAAGTGCCGTGCTTAAGGGCACACCGACAGATTTTTCACCTAGTCGGCTCGGGGATTAGAACCAGCGACCTTTCGGTTACTGGCACAACGCTCTTACCCACTACAGTGCCTTCGGAAAGTATTCAGACCCCTTGACTTTTTCCACATTTTATTTTGTTACAGCCTTATTCTAAAATTGATTAAATAAAACATGTTCCTCAGCAATCTACACACAATACCCCATAATGAAAAAAACAAAAACAATTTTAGCAAATGTATAAAAAATTAAAAACAGAAATACCTTATTTACACAAGACATAAGTATTGAGACTCGAAATTGAGCTCAGGCGCATCCTGTTTCCATTGATCATCCTTGAGCTGTTTCTACAACTTGATTGGAGTCCACCTGTTGTATTTTCAATGATTTGGAAATGCACACACCTGTCTATATAAGGTACCACAAGCCATGAAGTCGAAGGAATTGTCCGTAGAGCTCCGAGACAGGATTGTGTCGAGGCACAGATCTGGGGAAGGGTACCAAAAAAATGTCTGCAGCATTGAAGGTCCCCAAGAACACGGTGGCCTCCATCATTTATAAATGGAAGAAGTTTGGAACCACCAAGGCTCTTCCTAGAGCTGGCCGCCCGGCCAAACTGAGCAATCGGGGGAGAAGGGCCTTGGTCAGGGAGGTGACCAAGAACCCGATGGTCACTCTGACAGAGCTCTAGAGTACCTCTGTGGAGATGGGAGAAACTTTCAGAAGGACAACCATCTCTGCAGCACTCAACCAATCAGGCCTTTATGGTAGAGTGGCCAGACGGAAGCCACTCCTCAGTAAAAGGCACATGACAGCCCGCTTGGAGTTTGCCAAAAGGCACCTAAAGACTCTCAGACCATGAGAAACAAGATTCTCTGGTCTGATGAAACCAAGATTGAACTCTTTGGCCTGAATGCCAAGCGTCACATCTGGAGGAAACCTGGCACCATCCCTACGGTGAAGCATGGTGGTGGCAGCATCATGCTGTGGGGATGTTTTTCAGCGGCAGGGACTGGGAGACTAGTCAGGAATAGGGAGGGAGAAAGGGGGAGGTTAGGAGAAGACAAAAGAGGATGATGAGAATAGGGTCCACTGTCAAATTCATAAATCTCCAAACAATATGAAAAACCAAATACCAAAGACCCTTGAAACTTAAGCATGAAATTAAGCTTAAGGTAAAGCACACAAAAGATAGCTATTATCCCAAAGGGTAACATCCCACCATTTCCAGTCAAACTAAAGGAGCAGGTGTGTGATGGAAAGGTACAACGAGGAGGGTCAAGTGACCTTACTGACCTTGAACCGGCCGGCTGGAGGTCATCTTGAAGTCCAGAGTGGGCTTGCTGGAAAATCCGGCCCAGAAGTCGATGGTGCTGACTCCTGAGATCCGGACTGAGTGTCTGCCCTCGCTAGACGTCTGGAGAGATGGGGAAATAGGTCAAAGGTTAGAATCACATTAGGTCAGATTAGATTCTATTAGAGCAGTGATATTCAAAGTCGGGGTCACGGAGGAATTGCAGTGGGGACAAAAAATTAAGAGTACAAATTATTGTATGGGACAATATACAAATGTTTTTGAAAAACATAATTTGATAAGAGATGAAAATGCAATGAATTGAAGGTTATTTGTTGATGTAAAAATCTAAATGTACTCATTTTAAGGTTGTGTCATTAGATTTGGGGTTGGGGTCACAATAAATTATTAGGGGGAAAAATTGTGTCCCCTGAAATTCTGATGAAAAAAATGGGGTCCCCAGAAATTCTGCCAAAGAAAATGGGGTCCCCAGAAATTCTGGTGAAAAAAAATGGTGTCCTGTCCCCAGAAATTATGGCAAAGAAAATGGGTCCCTGCTTAAAATGTTTGAATACCACTGTGTTGTTTGTGCTGTGATGTGGGATCACACACAATGAAAATGTCTGCATCTGCATCTGTATCCTAAACTTATACAGTGGTTTGTCTCATACAAGACACGTTTAGAATCCACAATACAGCTGATAAAAAATATAACAGAAAGTTTACATGACAGCAGCTCTGTAGCTGCTATTTTCAGCATTGGTTGGGAATTGAGGCCAGCACTGGTTAGGAGCAGGGTTTCATGATGATGTGCAGTCACTAAACATGGTCTGCTTAAGCCATCACCACAGTTATTTCAATATTTAATTACCGTTTCTAAAGTTAGAACATAACAATGTGATGAGTTTAGGATGGCTGTGCCAGTATGGCTGATCCAAGATGGCTGTGACAGTATGGTTGATCCAAGATGGCTGTGACATTATGGTTGATCCAAGATGGCTGTGACAGTATGGTTGATCCAAGATGGCTGTGACAGTATGGTTGATCCAAGATGGGTCTGACAGTATGGTTGATCCAAGATGGCTGTGCCAGGATGATTGATCCAAGATGGCTGTGCCAGGATGATTATGATCATGTCTCCAATGCAAGAGAAGCCAAAGCTTTTACATCAAATGGAACACCATTTTCCAACAAGACAAAAATGAACGGAGCAAAGTACAGAGTGATCCTTGATGAAAACCTGCTCCAGATCGCTCAGGACCTCAGACTGGGGCAAAGGTTCACCTTCCAACAGGACAACGACCCTAAGCACACAGCCAAGACAACACAGGAGTGGCTTCGGGACAAGTCTCTGAATGTCCTTGAGTGGCCCAGCCTGAGCCCGGACTTGAACCCGGTCGAACATCTCTGTAGAGACCTGAAAATAGCTGTGCAGCAACGCTCCCCATCCAACCTGACAGAGCTTGAGAGGATCTGCAGAGAAGAATGGGAGAAACTCCCCAGATACAGGTGTGCCAAGCTTGCAGCGTTATACCCAAGAAGACTTGAGGCTTTAATTGCTGCCAAAGGTGCTTCAACAAAGTACTGAGTAAAGGGCCTGAATACTTATGTAAATGTAATATTTCAGTTTTTTATTTGTAATATTTTTGCTAAGATTTCTAAACGTCTTTTTGCTTTGTTATTATGGGGTATTGTGTGTAGATTGAGGAGGAACAAAACAAATGTAATCAATTTTAGAATAAGGCTATAACGTAACAAAATCTGGAAAAAGTCAAGGGGTTTGAATACTTTCCGAAGGCACTGTATATGTATGAATTGCAGGTTCCAGTGTTGACTCAATCTCTTGCACAAATCATATAACGTTCCATTTAGCAGGTTGCTTTCATACAAAGCAACTTACAGTCGTGTGCATACATTCTTTACATTTGGGTGGTCGTGGGAATCGAACCCACTATCTTGCCAGCGCAACCCACTCCTTTTGCCCTCAGAACAGCCTAAATTCGTTCCGGCTACAAGGTGTCGAAAGCGTTCCACAGGGATGCTGGCCCATGTTGACTCCAATGCTTCCCACAGCTGGATGTCCTTTGGGTGGTAGACCATTCTTGATACATACTGGAAACTGTTGAGCGTGAAAAACCCAACAGCATTCCAGTTCTTGACACAAACCGGTGCGCCTGACACCTACTACCATACCCCGTTCAAAGGCACTTAATTGTTTTGTCTTGCCCATTGACCCTCTGAATGGCACACATGCGCAATCCATTTCTCAATTGTCTCGAGGCTTAAAAATCCTTCTTTAACCTGTCTCCTCCCCTTCATCTACACTGATTTGAAGTGGATTTAACAAGTGACATCAATAAGGGATCGTAGCTTTCACCTGGATTCACCTGGTCAGTCTATGTCATGGAAAGAACCAGTGTTCTTAATGTTTTCTGCGCTCAGTGTAGATGTATATTTGGCCCAACATTTGATTTCTATAATGTATTGTACTCTACTTTGCTCTACTGTAATGTACTGAACCATAATGTACTGTAATGTACTGTACATAATTGTACTATACTTTACTGTACTGAACTATAATGTATTGTACTGTACTTTACCATACTGTACATTATTGTACTGTACTAGACTGTGCTGAACTGAACTGTACTGTACAGAACTATACTGTACTATACTATTTCTACCCATTTAAACTGGTCTTGGTCAGGTCATGGTCTCGATCCACTGGTCCTTGGTCCTTAAAAACTCTTGGTCTGGATTTAAAGGGTTCCGGTCCTGACTTCATTTCTGGTACTCACACCAATTGTATACTTTTGAATCCATGTGGGTAATGAACCAGTGCACACTTCAGGAAACATTGTAGAGTATTGAGATGCATGGCCAGCAGGGGGCTCCCTTCCCTCCAAGAGTGCTGTCAGGCCCGAGCTCACTCAACGATATCAACTTCATTTGTGTTGCATTTGAAGATCTTAGTCTATAGATGCTGTACACCAAGTTTCGGAGAAATCGGTGTAGTGGTGTCTGAGATGTTGTTTAAATTAATTTTTCAAAATAAATTTACGTAATTTTCAAAATGGCAGATAATCCATCACGGTGACGTCATTGGTCCAAGAGGCACATTTGTTCCTTGGGTAGAGAGGAACCTATGTACCAAATGTTACTATAGGTTGAATGAGGGAGCGGGGCTGACCTTTTGAAGTCAAAGGTTGTTTATAGTGCCACCATTTGGCAGAGTTGCACCACGTGCAACCAGATGTATTTGTGCATAATTGTATACCATCCCACCAAGTTTGGTCTCTGTAGGTTTTACCATTTAAGAACTCTCCAAAAAAATTGACAATTAATAAAAACCCTACAATAACAAGAGGGTTCCAGACCCTTTTGGGGCTTGTTCCCCGATTTAATAATAACACTGAACAAAAATATAAACGCAACATGTAAAGTGTTGGTCCCATGTTTCATGAGCTGAAATAAAAGATCGCAGAAGTTTTCCATACGCACAAAAAGCGTATTTCTCTAAAATGTTGTGCACAAATTTGTTTATATCCGTGTTAGTGAGCATTTCTCTTTTGCCAAGATAATCCATCCACCTGACGGGTGTGGCATATCAAGAAGCTGATTAAACAGCATGATCATTACCCAGGTGCACCTTGTGCTGGGGACAATAAAAGGCCACTCTAAAATGTGCAGTTTTGTCACACAACACAATGGCATGCTGACTGCAGGAATGTTCACCAGAGCTGTTGCCAGAGAATTTAATATTAATGTCTCTACCAAAAGCTGCCTCCAATGTCGTTTTAGAGAATTTGGCAGTACGTCCAACCGGCCTCAACCACAGACCATGTGTATGGCGTCGTGTGGGCAAGCGGTTTGCTGATGTCAAGGTTGTGATCAGAGTGCTCCATGGTAAGGTGGGGTTATGGTACGGGCAGGCATAAGCTATGGACAATGAACACAATTGCATTTTATCGATGGCAATTTGAATGCACAGAGTTACCGTGACGAGATCCTGAGGCCCAATGTTTCAGCATGATAATGCACGGCCCCATGTCGCAAGGATCTGTATACAATTCCTGGAAGTTGAAAATGTACCAGTTCTTCCATGGCCTGCATACTCACCAGACATGTCACTCATTGAGCATGTTTGGGACAACATGCACAGGCTAATCAACTCTATGCGAAGGAGATGTGTCGCGCTCCATGAGGCAAATGGTTGTCACACCAGTTACTGACTGGTTTTATGATCCACGTCCCTAACTTTTTTTTAAGGTATCTGTGACCAACAGATGCATACCTGTATTCCCAGTCATGTGAAATCCATAGATTAGGGCCAAATTATACTGATTTTCTTTACGTGAACTGTAACTCAGTAAAATCTTAGAAATTGTTGCATGTTGCATTTATATTTTTGTTCAGTGTATATATAGCTCTTTTCAAGGACCCAGCCGCTTGACAATTGAATAATTGTCTTCAGCAGAGCAGCTCCATCAGTGAGGGGCCTGTGTATCCCTACCAGAGCGGTATGCGATGCTGAGACCATCTTCGCCCTGTCGTCGGGCCACGGCAGGTGTGGTGTGGCGGTGGTCCGTGTCAGTGGTCCTGCCTCCTCCATGGTCCTGAGGAATATGGCAGGTCTGACCCTACCCCCTCCTCGTACTGCCCAGCTACGGAGGATCACTGACCCCCAGTCCAAAGAGCTGCTGGACCGAGGACTGGTCCTCTGGTTCCAAGGTCATATCGGTCCTAGAGGACATCTCACAGTTATTTTTGGATAAACCCACAATGCATCTCATAGTAGCTGTTCTGCTTGGTCCAATGTTGTTGTTGTGACTGTTGTTGTGCTTTCTTGTCAGGTCCCCACAGCTTCACAGGGGAAGACAGTGCGGAGTTCCATATTCACGGAGGTCCTGCAGTCATCACAGCTGTCCTACAAGCCCTAGGTAAGCGCGCAGTCATATGAAGAGAGATATGAGATATGGTACTAGGTTAGAGCGCAGTCATATGAAGAGAGATATGAGATATGGTACTAGGTTAGAGCGCAGTCATATGAAGAGAGAGATGAGATATGGTACTAGGTTAGAGCGCAGTCATATGAAGAGAGATATGAGATATGGTACTAGGTTAAAGCACAGTCATATGAAGAGAGATATGAGATATGGTACTAGGTTAAAGCACAGTCATATGAAGAGAGATATGAGATATGGTACTAGGTTAGAGCACAGTCATTTGTAGAGAGATATGAGTGGTCTGATTGAGTGTGATGTCCAGAGAGTGTCCTGTCTATACTGTAGTTGTCTTGACAGCTGGGATGAGAGATGAGGGATCAGGAACCAGCTGATTCTAGATCTGTGCCAATGGACAGCTTCTACCTGGAATGTATCGTGTGATCTCTACCGTGGCACCAGACCTGGGTATCAACACTTCACCACCTCTCCTGAGAGGAGCGCTACAGAAAATAGCCTAATTTTAGTATTCTTGAGGAAAACCGTCAGCAGCCTAACAAAAGCAAATCTCTATTTTTGACAGTCAAAATAGTGGGTTTGGAATCTACCTACTGTAGATTCACCCTTTCCTTAGTTTGGCATGCAGACAATGCTGCTATTGTTTCTCTGGTACAATGTGTGGATGGAGGGAACCTGGAGTAGGCTGATGTTTCCTCTCCTAGCGGGCCCTATTGAACTGTCAATCATTCAATGTGTCAATCAATATTCAGATCTTTAGGGTGCATCTCAATAGCGATGATGCCTACTGGCGATTTGCTTTCACCTGTGTGTGTGTGTGTATATATATATATATATATATATATATATATATATATATTAGTACTAGGTTAGAGCCTAGAGGAGATAAGTGTTCGTGTAGTTGTTTCATCTGGGTGTCTGCATTGCTTTCCTTCCTGCAAACAGTTTCCTTGAACTTGAGAGTAATGCAGAACTGTTGTCAGTTTCCTTGCAATGTTAATGTTTGGCTGCTAGGGGGCAGTGTTATATAAATGAATGTCAACTGTGCAGCGCCTCAGATTGCAGTTAGATTGCATCTTCTCAGAACAGCCAGTCAACAACATAATACATAAAGTTGATGATATAATCCTGGTGTCTTCTGTAGTTACCAGCGTTGTGCTTCTTTATTAATACGGTACTAGTACAGTGTTAATAACCAACTGGCAACAGCCAACTGTCTCTGGTTAATGCCTTTGCAGAGGGTGTAAGGATCAGGCCACCATATTGACAACCAATAAATTAAGTTCTGTAAAGGTTCTAACAAAAACACCTTACCTCATTGCCAGTGTTGTTTTTGCCACTCACAGTGATCCCAGAATGACCCTTCAACTCTGAACCTCTGACCCTATGACTTCATGAGCCCAGAGCAGGCACGGGGTTTGTCTCTTTCTGGCAGTGTGTGTATTTCTCAGGAAGACAAGAGACAAGCAGCCAGCAGACACTCTATTGTGTAACTTTATATGACAATTAAATTAAATACACCTACAAATATACACTGAGTACAGTCACATGCATACAATAATGCGATAAATGTGGATAATCAGATTAATATAATAGTTTGATTAAAACGTTTACATGCTTTGCAAGAAGAATGATTTCCCTAATAATCCTGTTTACATCTGAAACCAGGCTACCTGATGGAACTCTGATAAATGCAGAAAATCGCCAATCAAAATAAAGGTTCTACCACAGCAGCCATGTTGTTTTTGGGAAGCATATTTGATTCAGAGTTCGGATATATAAAGTTTGTATGAGAAAACTGCTTCTAAGACGCATAAATTCAGTTGTTCCAAACTCAGTTCACTAGCGCTAAAGAGGGAGGCTTGCTGGGCTGGTGATAGCACGTGCGCAGATCAAATACACTGCTGGAACGCCGATATAAGCTGTTTCCATGTCCTAATAATTCGAAAGATTACTCAGAAAACCAGGTGTTTTAATCGGCGTAGGTTTACTTCCATTATGACCTTTCACCGATTAATATAAGCAGAGTAAGGTGTTTACGTGACTATTGCGTAATCTGCCTACTGCCATAATGAGTTTAATATCGATTTATTACTGTGCATGTAAACTTACCCACTGAGTGTACAAAACTTTATGAACACCTGCTCTATCCATGACATACTGACAAGATGAATCCAGGTGAAAGCTATGATCCCTTATTGATGTCACTTGTTAAATCCACTTCAATCAGTGTAGATGAATGGGAGGAGACAAGTTAAAGAAGGATTTTGAAGCCTTGAGACAATTGAGACATGGATTGTGTATGTGTGCCATTCAGAGGGTGAATGGGCAAGACAAACGATTTATGTGCCTTTGACCAGGGTACGGTAGAAGGTGCCAGGCGCACCGGTATGTGTCAAGAACTGCAACGCTCCACAGTTTCCCATGTGTATCAAGAATGGTCCACCACCCAAAGGTCATCCAGCCAAGTTGACACAACTGTGGGAAAGCATTGGAGTCAACATGGGCCAGCATCCATGCCGAACGCTTTGGACACCTTGTAGAGTCCATGCCCCGACGAATTGAGGCTGTTCTGAGGGCAAAAAGGAGTGGTGGGGTGCAACTCAATATTAGGAAGTTGTTCTTAATGTTTTGTCCACTCTGTATTTAGGTAGTGTATATTTAGCTGTGGATGCTTTTAACCCTTTGTTGTACTCTGTTGTCCCAAAAGACTACATATACACTACCGTATATATATATATATATATATATATATATATATATATATATATATATATATATATATATATATATATATATATAGAGTGAATATATATATATATATATATATATGAGTGAATCCCGTTTTTAAATGCACAATATGTCAATTAATTAACTTGGCATGCAATCTACGTTGCCTTAGTAACCCTGGCTTGTGAACGTTAGGGAACCTTATTAGTGACCCAAGTTTTGTCTCTGTCTTGCTGTGCTGTGTGGTGTGTAACTAATTGACCCTGGCTTTGACCTTGTTTGAGTGATTCTCTGTCTTACTGTGTGGTGTGTTACTAATTGACCCTGGCTTTGACCTTGTTTGAGTGATTCTCTGTCTTGCTGTGTGGTGTGTTACTAATTGACCCTGGCTTTGACCCCGTTTGAGTGAGTCTCTGTCTTGCTGTGCGGTGTGTGTTATGCAGGAAGCCTGGAGGGTGTGAGGCCTGCGGAGGCAGGGGAGTTCACGCGGAGGGCCTTCCACGCGGGGAAACTGGGCTTGACGGAGGTGGAGGGCCTGGGTGACCTGATCCACGCTGAGACTGAGGCCCAGAGGAGGCAGGCCCTCAGGCAGATGGATGGAGAGCTGGGCCGCGTCTACCAGGACTGGAGCTACAGGCTGAAACGGGTAGGAGAGTAGGTTCCCCCAGAGAAAGAGAAAAGACGGATGGTTACCTAGCAACTTGTTGTTGTCTAAGCCAGCCAGGCAACTGTGTAACGATGTTGCATAAAAAGCACACAGATCTCAAAGTTAGGATTCAGGCCTTTGTGTGTACTAGACAGCTCTAGTTTGGGCTGTTTGAGTTGCCATGGTTGCCATTTGGCTGCGAGTCGTCTCCAGGCCATTGGTAGAGTGGTCTGATTGAGTGTGATGTCCAGAGAGTGTCCTGTCTATACTGTAGTTGTCTTGACAGCTGGGATGAGAGATGAGGGATCAGGAACCAGCTGATTCTAGATCTGTGCCAATGGACAGCTTCTACCTGGAATGTATCGTGTGATCTCTACCTTGGCACCAGACCTGGGTATCAACACTTCACCACCTCTCCTGAGAGGAGCGCTACAGAAAATAGCCTAATTTTAGTCTTCTTGAGGAAAACCGTCAGCAGCCTAACAAAAGCAAATCTCTATTTTTGACAGTCAAAATAGTGGGTTTGGAATCTACCTACTGTAGATTCACCCTTTCCTTAGTTTGGCATGCAGACAATGCTGCTATTGTTTCTCTGGTACAATGTGTGGATGGAGGGAACCTGGAGTAGGCTGATGTTTCCTCTCCAAGCGGGCCCTATTGAACTGTCAATCATTCAATGTGTCAATCAACATTCAGATCTTTAGGGTGCATCTCAATAGCGATGATGGCTACCGGGGATTTGCTTTCACCTGTTCACTTCTGTCATGAAAGGAGACAAGGAGAGGATGCTTTTTTTAGTCGACTGAGATGTTTTAGTCGACTGAGATGTTTTAGTCGACTGAGATGTTTTAGTCGACTGAGATGTTTTAGTCGACTGAGATGTTTTAGTCGACTGAGATGTTTTAGTCGACTGAGATGATTTAGTCCACTGAGATGTTTTAGTCGACTGAGATGATTTAGTCCACTGAGATGTGACCTAGAAGACAATCACAACCGAGAAACTTAAATCATTGCCAAAGGAATTAATATAGAGAGGAATGTGATGAGTATAGCATATGTTGTTGTTGTCTCTCTCGCTCAACATCTGTATGTTTGTTGTTTCAGTGTTTGGCTCACGTGGAAGCCTTCATAGACTTCAGTGAAGATGAGCTCATCGAGGACGGGGTGTTAAATCACGGTGGGTACGCCCCCTTCTCTGGAACAAAATAACCATTACGGAAGTCAGTTTTCCAGGGGGAGTTGGCATGGCTTTCCTGTTTGTATCTGCGGAGAGGGAGAGCTAGCGTCATTGAGAGGAGATACGCATCAAAGTGCTGAAAAGACGGTCTCCTTGGAGGAAGTGGGGAGAAGGGGCCACAGGGACACTGCAGGCATTCATCTTGTCTTCAAAGCCTGGCTTCTCAGGCTGTCCAACACAGGAATACACTGTCAGCAGCTACAAACCCTCTCTCTATCTCTCTCTCTATCTCTCTCTCTATCTCTCTCTCTATCTCTCTCTCTCTCTCTCTCTCTCTCACCTCTCTCTCTGTCACCTCTCTCTCTCTCACCTCTCTCTTGCTACCACCTCTCAATTCAATTCAATTTAAGGGCTTTATTGGCATGGGAAACGTATGTTAACATTGCCAAAGCAAGTGAAGTAGATAGTAAACAAAAGTGAAATAAACAATAAATATTAACAGTAAACATTACACTCAGAAGTTCCAAAAGAATAAAGACATTTCAAATGTCATATTATGTATATATACAGTGTTGTAATAATGTGCAAATAGTTAAAGTACAAATGGGAAAATAAGTAAACATAAATATAGGTTGTATTTACAATGGTGTTTGTTCTTCACTGGTTGCCCTTTTCTTGTGGCAACAGGTCACACATCTTGCTGCTGTGATGGCACACTGGTTTTTCACCCAGTAGATATGGGAGTTTATCCAAATTGGATTTGTTTTCGAATTCTTTGTGGGTCTGTGTAATCTGAGGGAAGTATGTGTCTCTCATATGGTCATACATTTGGCAGGAAGTTAGGAATTGCAGCTCAGTTTCTACCTCATTTTGTGGGCAGTGTGCACATAGCCTGTCTTCTCATGAGAGCCAGGTCTGCCTACGGCGGCCTTTCTCAATAGCAAGGCTATGCTCACTGAGTCTGTACATAGTCAAAGATGTCCTTAATGTTGGGTCACAGTGGTCAGGTATTCTGCCACTGTGTACTCTCTGTTTAGGGCCAAATAGCATTCTAGTTTGCTCTGTTTTTTTGTTAATTCCTTCCAATGTGTCAAGTAATTATCTTTTTGTTTTCTCATGATTTGGTTGGGTCTCTGTGGGGTCTGTTTGTGTTTGTGAACATAGCCCCAGGACAGCTTACTTAGGGGACTCTTCTCCAGGTTCATCTCTCTGTAGGTGATGGCTTTGTTAGGAAGGTTTGGGAATCGCTTCCTTTTAGGTGGTTGTAGAATTTAACGGCTCTTTTCTGGATTTTGATCATTAGCGGGTATCGGCCTAATTCTGCTCTGCATGCATTATTTTGTGTTTTCTGTTGTACACGGGATATTTTTGCAGAATTCTGCATGCAGAGTCTCAATTTGGTGTTTGTCCCATTTTGTGAATTCTTGGTTGGTGAGCGGACCCCAGACCTTAAAGGGCAATGGGTTCTATAACTGATTCAAGTATTTTTAGCCAGATCCTAATTGGTATGTCAAATTTTATGTTCCTTTTGATGGCATAGAAGGCCCTTCTTACCTTGTCTCTCAGATCGTTCACAGCTTTGTGGAAGTTACCTGTGGCGCTGATGTTAAGGCCGAGGTATGTATAGTTTTTTGTGTGCTCTAGGGCAACGGTGTCTAGATGGAATTTGTATTTGTGGTCCTGGCAACTGGACCTTTTTTGGAACACCATTATTTTTGTCGTACTGAGATTTACTGTCAGGGCCCAGGTCTGACAGAATCTGTGCAGAAGATCTAGGTGCTGCTGTAGGCCCTTCTTGGTTGGGGACAGAAGCACCAGATCATCAGCAAACAGTAGACATTTGACTTCAGATTCTAGTAGGGTGAGGACGGGGGCTGCAGACTGTTCTAGTGCCCTTGCCAATTTGTTGATATATACAGTTGAAGTCGGAAGTTTATATACACTCAGGTTGGAGTCATTAAAACTCGTTTTTCAAACACTCCACAAATTTCTTGTTAACAAAATATAGTTTTGGCAAGTCGGTTAGGACATCTACTTTGTGCATGACACAAGTAATTTTTCCAACAATTGTTTACAGACAGATTATTTCACTTATAATTCACTGTATCACAATTCCAGTGGGTCAGAAGTTTACATACACTAAGTTGACTGTGCCTTTAAACAGCTTGGAAAATTCCAGAAAATGATGTCATGGCTTTAGAAGCTTCTGATAGGTTAATTGACATAATTTGAGTCAATTGGAGGTGTACCTGTGGATGTATTTCAAGGCCTACCTTCAAACTCAGTGCCTCTTTGCTTGACATCATGGGAAAATCAAAAGAAATCAGCCAAGACCTCAGAAAAATAATTGTAGACTTCCACAAGTCTGGTTCATCCTTGGGAGCAATTTACAAACGCCTGAAGGTACCACGTTCATCTGTACAAACAATAGTATGCAAGTATAAACACCATGGGACCACGCAGCCGTCATACCGCTGAGGAAGGAGACGCGTTCTGTCTCCTAGAGATGAACATACTTTGGTGCGAAAAGTGCAAATCAATCCCAGAAAAACAGCAAAGGACCTTGTGAAGATGCTGGAGGAAACAGGTACAAAGTATCTATATCCACAGTAAAACGAGTCCTATATCGAAATAACCTGAAAGGCCTCTCAGCAAGGAAGAAGCCACTGCTCCAAAACCGCCATAAAAAAGCCAGACTACGGTTTGCAACTGCACATGGGGACAAAGATCGTACTTTTTGGAGAAATGTCCTCTGGTCTGATGAAACAAAAATAGAACTGTTTGGCCATAATGACCATCGTTATGTTGGGAGGAAAAAGGGGAAGGCTTGCAAGCCTGAAGAACACCATCCCAACCGTGAAGCACGGGGGTGGCAGCATCATGCTGTGGGGGTGCTTTGCTGCAGGAGGGACTGGTGCACTTCACAAAATAGATGGCATCATGAGGAAGGAAAATTATGTGGATATATTGAAGCAACATCTCAAGACATCAGTCAGGAAGTAAAAGCTTGTTCGCAAATGGGTCTTCCAAATGGACAATGACCCCAAGCATACTTCCAAAGTTGTGGCAAAATGGCTTAAGGACAACAAAGTCAAGGTATTGGAGTGGCCATCACAAAGCCCTTATCTCAATCCTATAGAACATTTGTGGGCAGAACTGAAAAAGCGTGTGCGAGCAAGGAGGCCTACAAACCTGACTCAGTTACACCAGCTCTATCAGGAGGAATGGGCCAAAAGTCCCCCAACTTATTGTGGGAAGCTTGTGGAAGGCTACCCAAAATGTTTGACCCAAGTTAAACAATTTAAAGGCAATGCTACCAAATACTAATTAAGTGTATGTAAACTTCTGACCAACTGGGAATGTGATGAAATGAATAAAAGCTGAAATAAATCATTCTCTCTACTATTATTCTGACATTTCACATTCTTAAAATAAAGTGGTGATCCTAACTGACCTAAGAGAGGGAATTTTTACTAGGCTTCAATGTCAGGGATTGTGAAAAACTGAGTTTAAATGTATTTGGCTAAGGCATATGTAAACTTCAACTGTATGTTGAAGAGGGTGGGGCTTAAGCTGCATCCGTGTCTCACCCCACGGCCCTGTGGAAAGAAATGTGTGTGTTTTTTGCCAATTTTAACCGGAACACTTGTTGTTTGTGTACATGGATTTTATAATGTTGTATGTTTTTCCCCCAACACCACTTTCCATCAATTTGTATAGCAGACCCTCATGCCAAATTGAGTCAAAAGCTTTTTTGAAATCAACAAAGCATGAGAAGACTTTGTCTTTGTTTTGGTTTGTTTGTTTGTTTGTCAATTAGGGTGTGCAGGGTGAATACGTGGTCTGTCGTACGGTAATTTGGTAAAAAGCCAATTTGACATTTGCTCAGTAGATTGTTTCACTGAGGAAATGTAAGAGTCTGCTGTTAATGATAATGCTGAGGATTTTCCCAAGGTTGCTGTTGACGCATATCCTGCAGTAGTTATTGGGGTCAAATATGTCTCCACTTTTGTGGATTGGGGTGATCAGTCCTTGGGTCCAAATATTGGGGAAGAGGTGCCATAGCGAGGAGATGTTAAGAGTAGCCATCTCTCTCTCCTCTCTCTCTCAATCCTCTCCTCTACCTCCCTCTCCTCTTTCTCTCCCGCATCTCTCTCTCTCTCTTTCTCTCTCTCTCGTCTCTCCTCTTCTCTCTCCTCTCGTTCCTCTCTCTCTCTCATCACTCCTCTGTCGACTCTTTCCTCTGGCTGGGACCTCTCGTGTTGTCTCATTCAATCAATTGGGAAAAGTGTTGTGTGTTACATTGCCAAAGCAATGAAGTAGATAGAAAACAAAAGTGAAAATCAACCAATGAATATTAACAGTAAACTCTTACACTCAGAAGTTTCAAAAGAATAAAGAAATTTAAATGTCTTTATGTATATATACAGTGTTGTAATGTTGCAAAGTAGTTAAAGTAAAAAATGGGAAAATAAATAAACATATAATATGGTTTGTATTTAACGAATGGGTGTAAAGAGTGGTCCCTCTCTCTCACCTCGTCTCTCTCTTCTCACCTCGTGTTCATTGTCTCTGCGTCTACCACCTTCTCTTTATCATCTAATCTCCTCTCTGGAACCTCTTCTCAACGTCTGTCTGAGTCTATCCTCTCCATCTCTCTCAGGTCTCTCTATCTATCTAAAAGCGTATGTTCTCTACTCTCTATCTCCACACTCTGTGTCTATTCATATCTCGTCTCTCTATACACCTCTCCCTCTATCTCTCTCTCTCCCACTCTCTGTCTCTCTCTCTCCCTCTCTCTCTCTCTCTCTCCCACCTCTGTCTCTGTCTCTCTCTCTCTACCACCTCCCTGTCTGTGTCTTCCATTCTCTCTCTCTCTTTGTCTCTCTCCTCTCTCCCTCCCTCTCCTTCTCTCTGTCTCTCTTTCCCTGTGTCTGTCTGTCTGTCTGTCTCTCTGTCTCTCAATTCAATTTCAATTTAAGGGCTTTATTGGCATGGGAAACGTATGTTAACATTGCCAAAGCAAGTGAAGTAGATAGTAAACAAAAGTGAAATAAACAATAAATATTAACAGTAAACATTACACTCAGAAGTTTCAAAAGAATAAAGACATTTCAAATGTCATATTATGTATATATACAGTGTTGTAATAATGTGCAAATAGTTAAAGTACAAATGGGAAAATAAATAAACACAAATATGGGTTGTATTTACAATGGTGTTTGTTCTTCACTGGTTGCCCTTTTCTTGTGGCAACAGGTCACACATCTTGCTGCTGTGACGGCACACTGTGGTTTTTCACACAGTAGATAAGGGAGTCTCTCTCTCTCTCTCTCTGTGTTTCCCATGGTGTGGGGGAGAAGGGGAGAGTGAGAGGAAGGGAAATCCCCCTCAGCAGTCTGGTGGGGGTGGGGGGGCAGCTGGGAGAACAGAAGCCTCTGATCTTTGATTTAGTGACAGATGCTTTGCTGCATGGCATTTGTTTTGGTGGCACGCCATTGGGCCCTTTCCTCTCAGAGGAGAAGTCAGAGCCACCTCTGTTTCATAGCTAAGTGGACAGGGGTCTACACGATGGGTGAGATTCTTTCATCTCATGTAATTGGCATTTAAAAAGGTTGTTTCACATCAGACACATTCTAAATATGTCACAATATTGTTGACATTAGTTGATTAGTTTCACATGTTACAGAGCAAAGATAGTTTCACCTGTTACACGGCATTGGTTATTTGGAAAGAGAACATGAAATTCAAATTGAAGTTTGACTCCCTGCTGTCCTGTCACTACCTGTCTCCCCTCCCCAGTGGACAGTTCAGTGCGCCAGCTGGAGACGGAGATAGAGACACACCTAAAGGACGAGAGGAGAGGAGAGCGGCTACGGAGTGGAGTACAGGTGGTCATAGCAGGAGCTACCAATGCTGGGAAGAGCAGTCTGCTCAACACACTCTGTAAGAATAATACACACACACAAACAAAGGATCGCTCATTTCCTATTGACATCAATGTATGAGTGCACTTAGTCATGCACCTACACTTAAAGGAGAATTGTGCTTTTTTTATGACCAAATCTCTATTTCTGATGTAAATGACATGTTATAGAAGATTCCAGACACGTTTTTTTTAGCGATTTCACTTGTTTTTGAGAAACGTACACCAACCAGCGATTCACTTCCTCATCCTCGTAGTGCAGTACGGGGGGCTCTGAAAAAACATGTAATTTCAATCTTTTATCCGCAACATTATATTCCATTTTGTGCGACTTGAGCTGTTTCCCCAATCCACCTGTTCCATTCTGTGTAGCCACTTGAGTCGCAACCAAATTGAATATAACGTTGCGGATAAAGTTTGGAATTACACAATTTCATGTGTACAACGTCTAAAGACCTGCGTCACTATACTGACAGCTTTTCTGTTTCTAGAAGGATGTTTCTGGAACATTTGTTCCATGTTTTTTCAGAGCCCCCCGTACTGCACTACGAGGGTGAGGAAGTGAATCGCTGGTTGGTGTAAGTTAATCAAAAACAAGTGAAATAGAGATTTGCTTGTAAAAAAAAAGCACGATTCTCCCCTTTAATTCTAGAGAATACACATCTAATACACTCCACACTCAACACTTTAGAACGACACAATGACCACACACTGACGATTCACGACACTGCTTTAGTCCCATGTCCCTTGAGAGAAAATAACTTCCTAATGACACCTTATGCAACCGTGGAGCGTCAAAAGTATTTCTAATGAACCTGTTTCTAATGAACCTGTTTTGTTTATCAGTCATGTGGTCATGAGTTTGAGATATGACATCCTGCATCATTAAGCATGGCTCTGTATAAACCATGTGGAGTGGTTGTTTGGCTGCTTCCTATCAGAATAATAGACGTATTTTATCAGCCTCCAGATAAAATCCTGTTATTGTTTCCTATTGAGCTTTGTCTTTCCCAGGGCCTGACTCACGGCCTCAGCTCTAACACAGAGTAATGGCCGGGCTGTCGGTTGTTTGGCTGGGCAGTGGGGAGGGAGGGAGGGATACTACCGTACAGCACTTTACTCTATGTACGTAGTTCCGCTGAATAAAGGTGTGGTTCTGGATTAAAATATCCCATGGCAGGAGAAGGTTGATGAGTTTGTCGAGGATCTTATTTTGATTCCAAGAATAGGACACTTCAATGGTTAGTATTTCCCATGAATATATTGAGTTGTAGTGATTTTAAGAGAAGAGAAGATGGATGGAATATTTAAAAAAACGATCTCTCCATCGCTCTCTCTCTCTATCCCAATTCTTCTCTCTCTCTCCCTCTCTCTCATCCCTCTCTCTCATCTCTTTCTCTCTCTCTCTCTCTCTCTCTCCATTCCTCTCTGTCCAGGCCAGCGTCCAGCAGCCATCGTGTCCCCCATCGCGGGGACCACCAGGGACATTGTGGAGACCTCTCTGGACATTGGGGGCTTCCCTGTCCTCCTGAGTGACACCGCAGGGCTCAGAGACTCCTCAGACAGCGTGGAGAGAGAGGGGGTCCGCAGAGCCCGCCAGAGGTAGGTGCTAATCAATCAATACCAACGTGTATACACTATACCACATACTGTATATTGTACAAAGCATTATGGTCAAAATGCACATTTCATTTCAAGTAATTGAATATCTTTGATATGTAGTTCACCTAAAATGAATACACTAATTCTTATCTTAAGTGACCTTCAGGACTAGGATTTGGAAAGACATTAAACAATACGATATGGGGCAGTATTGGGTGTCTCTTCCTGTGAATTGTGACTTCTGTACAGAACAAAGTCTAGTGTTGTCTACATTGTATGGGAAATACGAACAAAATGAACAAGATACTTGAAAATCCTTGAAAACAAAGAAAGGAAGAAATAATTCAAGGCTTTCCCCATACGTTGTATTTTGGCTCCAGTTCCTCAGTGTAAAGAGGATATAAATACCAGACGTAAACACACTCAGGAGGTGGGAGGATGTGCCACCATGCACATTTGCATAATAATATTTACCATACAGAGGGTGAGGCACGCACACACACACACACACACACAAACACACACACACGCGGTAAGTGACCGGGTCAAATACATACATACCTGAGCACTCCATCCTGACGGCTGCTTCCATTGTTTACACCAGGGAAGAATAGCAGCAGCAGAAATGTATATACCTCTCCCTGAGTACACACACCCCCACCCCCACCCCCCACAGACTTGGCCAGGCTGACAAGAGAGGCGGGAGAGGGGAGAGTTGGCCCGGTAGGAAGTGCAGGCAGTTCTTGTGCTTAAGGGGACTTTCTGTATGTCTGTCAGGGGATCCAGGGCTCATGACCTGGGGAAGGGCAGGAAGGAGGTAGTCAGAATAAGCATCCTGCTGCTGCTGCTAGTCCCTGGGGAGGGGGGTGTCCCTGGGGAGGGGGGGTGTCCCTGGGGAGGGGGGTGTCCCTGGGGAGGGGGGGTGTCCCCACAGAGATACAGTTCATTATGTGACTGTCTCTAGATTCCCTACTTATGCTTTTCTGTTTCAACAAAAATGGACAATGCTATACAATTCTATTATATTCTGGGGAATTATAAGATGGCGCTGCAGTGGATAGCAACACATTTATGGGCTCCTGACCAATTCTGCTATTTTGCTGTGTTTTTTTACACTGATCGTAAATATTTTTTTACATAATGTCTCCGCCATCATTTCCTATGACCTTCTGGAGATCAGAACAGTGATCACTAACCTCGATTTGGATGACAATGTGTACTTCAACGAGTCGGCAGCTCTGGACGTTCTGCTCTGGACCAGGCCCTGATCCCCGGGCCTCGAAAGAGGAAGCGACGGCGCAAGAGAGGCAGACGAGCCGGCATCCTGACGAGACTACGTTGGCGTGCAAATAAACCGCCTCTACCCTACGTTCTGTTGCCGAACCTACAGTCACTAGAGATCAAACTGGACGAGCTCTGTTGGAGACTATCCTATCAACGGGACCTGAAGAACTGTAATATCCTATGATTCTCAGAGTCGTGGCTGAACAAGGACATGGATAATATACATCTTGTTGGCTTTTCCATGCATCGTCAAGACCGGTCAGCAGCAGCATCAGGTAAGATTTGGGGGGGTGGGGTTGTGTCTCTGTTAAGAAAAGCTGGTGCGTGATCTCTAATGTTAAGGAAGTCTCAAGTTTTTGCTCGCCTGAGTTAGAAATAGCTTATGATAAGCTGCAGGCCATACTATTGACTATTTTTCGGAACTGTCTATTTACCACCACAAACCGATGCTGGCACTACAACCTGTATAGGGCCGTAAGCAGACACACTTCTCGTGGCCGGTGATTTTAATGCAGGGAAACTTAAATCCTTTTTACCTCATTTTTACCAACATGTCACCTGTGCAACTAGAGGCGACAAAACTGTACTTTACTCCACACACAGAAAACCTTTACTCCACACACAGAAAACCTTTACTCCACACACAGAAAACCTTTATTCCACACACAGAAAACCTTTCTGTGTAAGGTAGGGTCGTCATTTTGTAGAGCATGAACCTGCAGGATCGGGTCACCGCTTTGATGTTAGCGGAGAATGACAGGGTGTTGTCCAGGGTCACGCCAAGGTTCTTTGCACTCTGGGAGGAGGACACAATGGAGTTGTCAACTGTGATGGCGAGATCATGGAGCGGGCAGTCCTTCCCCGGGAGGAAGAGCAGCTCCGTCTTGCCGAGGTTCAGCTTGAGGTGGTGATCCGACATCCACACTGATATGTCTGCCAGACATGCAGAGATGTGATTCGCCACCTGGTTATCAGAAGGGGGAAAGGAGAAGATTCAGTGTGTGTCGTCTGCGGGGGGCCAGTATGAAAAATATAAATAATGTATGCACTCACTAACTGTAAGTCGCTCTGGATAAGAGCGTCTGCTAAATGACTAAAAATGTAAATGTAAATGTAAATGTCTGCGTAGCAATGATAGGAGAGGCCATGTGAGGATATGACAGAGCCAAGTGACTTGGTGTATAGAGAGAATAGAAGAGGGCCTAGAACTGAGCCCTGGGGGACACTAGTGGTGAGAGCACATGGTGCGGAGACAGATTCTCGCCACGCCACCTGGTAGGAGCGACCTGTCAGGTAGGACGCAATCCAAGAGTGAGCAGCGCCGGAGATACCATTGAGGAGTTTACTACATCAGCCACCGGCTTAATTAATTACGGGACTAAGATTGAATCCTACTACACCGGGTCTGATGTGGCAGTGCTTGCAAACTATCATGAATTACAAAGGGAAACCCACCCGCGAACCGTCCAGTGACGCGAGCCTACCAGACAAGCTAAATGCCTTCTATGTGCGCTTCGAGGCATGCAACACTGAACCATGCATGAGAGCAATAGTTGTTCTGGACGACTGTGTGATCTCGCGCTCTGTACCCGATGTGAGTAAGACCTTTAGACAGGTTAGCATTCACAAGGCCGCAGGGCCAGACGGATTACCAGGACGCGTACTCAGAGCATGCGCTGACCAGCTGGCAAGTGTCTTTACTGACATATTCAACCTCTCCCTGACCCAGTCTGTAATACCTAAATGTTTCAAGTAGACCACCATAGTGCCCAAGAAAGCCAAGGTAACCTGTCTAAATGACTATCGCCCCATGGCACTCACATCTCTAGCCATGAAATGCTTTGACAGGCTGGTCATGGTTCACATCAACACCATCATCCCGGACACCATGGACTCACTCCAATTTCGCATTCCGCCCCAACAGATCCACAGATGACGCAATCTCTATTGCACCTCACACTGTCCTCTCCCACCTGGACAAGAGAAACACCTATGTGAGAATGCTGTTCATTGATTACAGCTCAGCATTCAACACCATAGTGCCCTCCAAGCGCATCACTAAGCTCAGGACCCTGGGACTGAACACCTCCCTCCCTCTACAACTGGATCCTGGACTTCCTGACGGGCCGCCCCCAGGTGGTGAGAGTAGGTAAAAACACATCCATTACATTGACCCTCAACACGGGGGCCCCTCGGGTGCGTGCTTAGTCTCCTGCTGTACTCCCTGTTCACCCACGACTGCATGGCCACGCATGACTCCCAACACCATCATTAAGTTTGCTGACAACACGACGGTGGTAGGCCTGCCTGATCACCAACGACTATGACACAGCCTATAGGGAGGAGGTCAGTGACTTGGTGTTGTGGTGCCAGTACCACAACCTCTCCCTGAACGTCAGCAAGAGAAAGGAGCTGATGGTGGACTACAGGAAACGGAGGGCCGAGCACGCCCCCCATCCACATCGACAGGGCTGTAGTGGAGTGGGTCGAGAGCTTCAAGTTCCTCAGTGTCTACATCATTAAGGAATTAACATGGTCCACGCACACCAACACAGTCGTGAAGAGGGCACGACAACACCTCCTCCCCCTCAGGAGGCTGAAAAGATTTGGCATGGGCCCTCAGATCCTTAAAAAGTTCTACAGCTGCACCATCAAGAGCATCTTTACTGGCAGCTTGGTATGGCAACTGCTTGGCATCTGACCGTAAGGCGCAACAGAGGGTAGTGCTTACAGCCCAATACATCACTGGGGTCAAGCTTCCTGCCATCCAGGACCTCTAAACTAGGCAGTGTCAGAGGAAGGACCAAAAACTTGTCAAAGACTCCAATCACCCAAGTCATAGACTGTTCTCTCTGCTACCGCACGCCAAGCAGTACTGATGCACCTGGAATCAACAGGACCCTGAACAGCTTCTACCCCCAAGCCATAAGACTGCTAAATAGTTCACAAAATAGCTACCTGGGCTACCTGCATTGACCCTTTTTGCACTAACTCTTTTGACTCAAACAGTAGCAGCAGTGTATTCAAAATGTATCTATCCTGTCACTCTACCCCTACCTACACTATATATGCAAAATATGTGGATACCCCTTCAAATTAGTGTATTCGGCTATTTCAGCCACACCCGTAGCGAACAGGTGTATAAAATTGAGCACACAGCCATGCAATCTCCATAGACAAACATTGGCAGTGGAATGGCCTTACTGAAGAGTTCAGTGACTTTCAACGTGGCACCGTCATAGGATGCCACCTTTCAAACAATTAGTTCGTTAAATTTCTGCCCTGCTAGAACTACCCCGGTCAACTATAAGTGCTGTTATTGTGAAGTGGAACAGTCTAGGAGCAACAACGGCTCAGCCACGTAGTGGTAGGCCACACAAGCTCACAGAACTGGACCGCTGAAGCTCGTAGTGCGTAAAAATCGTCTGTCCTCGGTTGCAACACTCACTACCAAGTTCCAAACTGCCCCTGGAAGCAACGTCAGCACAAGAACTGTTCGTCTGGGAGCTTCATTACATTTGTTTCCATGGCTGAGCTGCCACGCCTAAGATCACCATGCGCAAAGCCAAGTGTCGGCTGGAGTGGTGTAAAGCTCGCCGCTATTGGACTCTGGAGCAGTGGAAACGCGTTCTCTGGAGTGATGAATCACGCTTCAATGTCTGGCAGTCCGATGGACGAATCTGGGTTTGGCAGATGCCAGGAGAACGTTACCTGCCCCAA